CATCAACGCATAGAAATCACCATATGATCAATTGAATACAATTAGAAGTAAAATCGGTGAAATATAGACAAAATATTTTCACAAATCAAGTTAGGTTTCCGATTTTTAGCTTTAGATTGAAACCTATTTTTCACACAAAAAACGTTCGAATTATATAAGCGATATTTCTAAAGAATACTTGAGGACGCTTTATTGGATTTTAAAAAAGTTTATGAAACCGTGGAAGTCATGTTTCACATATGGTGATTTTAGTAAATTGATAGTTTTATTGAGTTGTGATTTTTCTAACATTTGTAACTTATTATGTGGATTTTATATGCGAACATTAGCAACGAAGTGAACGAAATATGACGGATAATGGATGGAGTGCAATATCTCAAAGATGAGTGACCATTAGGAAGCATTTTGAAGTTCGATGAGTAAACTGTGACCTAGAGTAAGTTGGATGAGTGATGAAACAATGTTTTTGCTGATTTGTAATTTTTTAATGGCCATCAGACGTCACTTAGGAATTTCTTCCACCACGTCAGCGTCTAACAAATGGATTTTTGGACAGTGGTGGATGGAGAGGTAAATGACAAAATTGAGTAAGTATCGTGAAGCAGAATGAAGTTTGGTGAGCAGTCTGTGACCATAGTATAAGTTCAGTAATGTTTGAAACAATTCACTCCATACTTTATGTTTGGCTAAACTTTTATTAGATTACGAGTTGTGGAATTCCACAAAATGTGTGAATAGTAAAGTGTAAAAAGTAAGTAAAAATTATGGATCATAGATTATGTGGATAAAAATAAAGTTTAAGCTCGTTTGAAATGACTTTGAAAACTCAGAACTCATTCAAGATTATAAAGCTCATTTTAAACTTATTTGATTAGACGAGCTTTTATATGAAGTTGATTCAATATAACTTCCTCAAAATGTTATTTATCAAAAGCAAAAGTCTCGTAAAACGACCCCTTTAATCAGTTTATAAGTAACTTTGACGACCAAGTCTACCAAATAGATCGAATTTTAATCTAGCCAATTACTATTATGTTAGGATAATTTTTTAATAGTGTTTAATGTGATTAGAAGAGCTTTTGGCGAAAGTTAATCGAGGTGGTTTTCTCAAAAAGTTATTTATATGTAAGCAACAGTTAGCTCAAATAGGTCCAAAAGAGTATATTCTGAAAGACCATGCTCGTGGCTCAGAGTATATTCAAACAATTTCAAAAAATCACTTCCCAAAAATAAAATTCAACGATCACTTAATTTGAGCAACCAAAAAAATGTAATGGATCCCGTCCCGCGCTTGTAAACACATCCAAACAACTTACACCGCTTGAGTTATTGCGCTGATCACAGCCTTTTAATTATTCTACACACATAAATAAAACTAACGTTTAATTCTATTTATTTATTTGAAAAGGAAATTTTCAATATTAGTGCCCAATCTTTACGTGTGTGGCAACTTAGTCCCCAGCCGACTATTTTTCTGACAGAAATTGTGTCCCAAATTTTAATATTAAGCGCTTGTTTGATATCGATTAAAATTCAATTAAAATTGAAAATATAATCGTTATTGGGTCCCACTCGTCTAATAAAAGTCAACAATAATGACTAATTTTTCAATTTTAATCCGATTTTAATCTCTACCAAACGGGCTCTAAAGATGGGGCCTAAATCGAAGATGAATGGTTTAGCCCCCGTTTGGCACCCATTTTTTTCTCATTCTCATTTTTTTTTTTTTCTCTTTATNTTTTTTCTCTTTCTTCATTTCAACCACATATTCTATCAATAAAATAATATTACACATAAACCTAAAAATTCTCCTTACTTTTTAACCACATATTTTTCCATCAATCACTATTCAAAAACACATTATTTTCACAAAAATGGGTGTCAAACGCCCCCTTAAATTCTAGGCTGCTCCTCAGTACTCACAGAATTCTTCATTCCCCATTTCATACTGCTTAGAATCTCTGTTTCATGCAAAATAACTCAAACTTAGTGCGTGAAACTGATGAATAAGAAAAACGAATGCATAAATGGTTAAGGTGTTGATGAGGAAGAGAAAAAAAGAGGGAAAAATACACAGAGCAGTTGAATAATCAAGAAGAAGATGAACTGCTAATGGCGAGGCATCAAATTTGGCGATTTTCTGATCAATATTGCCTTGCCATTCTCACAACAAATAACTAACCTCTACCAAACCTCCATCCATTACTCCCCTTGATCAGGTAGCACTTGTACGATCAATTCACCACTACAAAAAATATATATACACATCTCTCTCTCTCTCTCTATATATACAATTTCTGTTCCTTATGAGAAGATTAATATTTTCGCCAACAACACATCACTTTCCCTACAAAAACCACAGCACTCTTCTCAGTCACTCCGTTTCAAAAAAACGTCCCAGGTGGGCCCATATGACCACCACTACAACCGCCGCCGCTGGAACCCGCCGGAATAAGAAAATAGTCGTGATATTGGGAGCCACGGGCTCCGGTAAATCAAAGCTTTCTGTAGATTTAGCTTCCAGATTCTTCACTTCATCGGAGATCATCAACTCTGATAAAATCCAAGTCTACAATGGCCTTGACATCACGACCAACAAAATCCCGTTGCATGAGCGAGAAAACGTACCCCACCATCTCCTTGGCGAGTTCCACCCGTCCAACTCACATCCCGAGTTCACACCCTCCGATTATCGATCACACGGTGCGACTACCATTTCGAAGATTCTATCCCACCGCAATACGCCCATTATCGCCGGTGGGTCTAACTCGTTCATCTACGCACTTCTGGCTGAAAAATTCAGTCCCGAAATAGACGTATTCAGCGAGTCAGACTCGATTCACTCGGTCTTTTGTAAACAGGTTCGTTACAGCTGTTGTTTTCTCTGGGTGGATGTTTCTTTACCCGTTTTGAATCAGTATTTAGTCAAGCGGGTCGACGACATGCTCGATTCGGGGATGTTCGAAGAGTTAGCAGATTATTTCAATGACCCTGATTCTGACTCGGTGAGTCAATCCGGATTAAAAAAAGCCATTGGGGTGCCGGAATTCACAAATTATTTTAATAGATTTAAATATAAAGCGGTTGCTGACGTGGAAAATGGGCTGGCGTACGAGGAAGCAGTGAAGGCAGTCAAGGACAACACGTGTCAACTGGCTAAACGACAACTGGGGAAGATCCTTCGGCTGAGGGACGCCGCCGGGTGGGACCTGAAGAGAATAGACGCCACAGCGGCGTTCAAGGCGAAGCTGGCCGGCAAAAGGGTGGCGGATATTTGGGAAAGACAGGTGGTGGAACCAAGCGTGAAGATTGTGAAGCGGTTCTTGATGGAGTAGGTTTTCCAGCTCACTCGTAACAATTCCCCTATTCTCTCTCTTGTTTGTTAGTTTAATTTTCACTTTTTTGGGGTTGCTAATCACTTATTTTATTTTTGCTTCTGTGAACATCTTTTACATAGTTGGTTTTTTTCTAGGAGGAGGATGAAGAATTAGATTAGGCCGCTATGAGAAATTGTGATACTATTCACGATAAAAGAAAATCAACATATTTTTCTTTCTTTGTCAAAACTTGTACATCCCGAAAACATTACTAATTCTTTTATGGGATTATTGGGGGCACAACACAAGCATAAAACTTTGTAAGTTTTCAATTTCAAATATTGTTATTCGTAAACGATACTTATATTAAGATTTGGGATGTTATCCGTTTTAACACGATATCAAAGCTCATTAAATTTCAATGAGCGATTCGATTCGATTCGATTCGATTCGATTCGATTAAAATTTAAAAAAAATGATCACACCAATTTCATGATTGATATGCTCAATCGGACAAGCTACCATCTTAACTATTCTACTTTGAATGTGAAGAAGTGTAAATCCTATGATAATTTTGTGGTCATACACAATGGTAGCAAAAATAGCTGTTTTTTTCCGATTAAACAAATGCTGCAACAAAGAATGTCCAGAACCTTCCATCATGCTCTGTTCTCCTCTTTTTTTTTTTTTTTTCTTTTCTGCTGCGTAAATCAGAACCATCGGTAATGAAACACTGACCCCCTTTCACGGACCTCATTTTGTAATTTTTTCCTCTCGACTTGCTTGTGTTCCTTCTTGATTGATTGATGAATGTCATCTGCTAACTTTACAACACTCAACTCCGTGATTTGGAAGTTTTAGCAAATGAGCCTTCACTAAAGTGTAAGTTCCAGTCACTTTTTTATTGCAATAGTTGCAACTCCAAGTCCAATTTCCACCTCCTCCGCTCAATGCTGTGGTGAGTTCACATGGAACCCCATATTGGCTTATCATCGAATTGATTTGCTCGAAGATTTGACGGTCGTTGAGGTTTTCTAGTGTAGAGTTAAATGGATTCATATTTGAAGTAAGCAAGATTCTGGAAACTTGTTTACATGATGTTTGATTGAAAATTAGGAGTAAGCAAGATTTTGGAATTTTTTTTTAAAATTCATATTTAGATATGTTTTTGTGTAGGAAGATGAATTTGTTGTTATTTATGTAAAGAAGTTTTCTGGTACAAATTTTGAAAAGGGCAGCTAATACGTCCAATTGCATTAATCCACTAAAGAAGAATATAAAATCTGTTGCAGAATATGGAAAAAGAAACTAAAATGTCAAATGGCAATTATTCATGTAAATTGGCGGCTTATTTCTGTACCATTTATTCACCATAATTTTGATTCCCAAATTGCAATTCCAAGAGTTAATCCATTAAAGACGAATTAAAAAAATCTAGTGCAAAATATGGAAAAAGAAACAAAAACGTCAAATAGCCATTATTCACGTAATTGACGGCTTGATTTCTGTACCATTTATTCACCATAATTTTGATTCCCATTTTCAGTTAATCTTGATTAGTAAGTAAATATTCTATAAATAATGTTTTGTTTCCCAATTTAATTGTTAATGCTTTGTTAGTAATTAAATATTCTATAATAAACGTTAAGTTATACGTATTAGATTGGCCAATTCGTTTTATCCGTATTATTTTATTCTATAATAAACAAGTGTTCTCTCATGATTGATTGACTAGAGTCATAGGTGACAAGTTGATCGAGTAGTACGTAGACGAAAATTTGACTACTCGCCAATCTTTATAATTTACTTTTAGAAATTAAACAAGTTGTGTGATCTCACTCTAAAAAAATAAGATTGATCATATGCGACAAGTTGATTGAGTTGTACATACACAGAGATTTGACTATTCACCAATCTTTTACTTTACTTTAAGAGATTAGAATGAGTTGGAGTCGATACGATCTAGAATATTTATGATCAAGGACATTTAATATGAAGTTGTGTGATCACACTCTAAAAAGAACAAGATTGATTAACGTCGTGCATAAACGACAAGTTGATCGAGTTATGCAGAGGGAGATTTGACTGCTCTCCAATTTTTTTACTTTACTTTTAAAAATTAAATGAGTTGTAATCGATATGATTTAGTATTTTTATGGTGAAGGACGTTTAACGAGAAGTTGTGTGATCGCACTCTAAAAAAATAAGATCGACCATAGGCGGCAAGTTGATCGAGTTGTACGTAAACGGAGATT